CTTAATTCTAAAGCATGAGAACTGGGAGTCACAAGACAAGATGATGTCAAGACCTACATTGATTCTTCTTAATCTGCGCTTGATATACTGGAAAATGACAAGGCATAATGATGCTCACTCAAGGTATAGTTGTGCAAAGGAAGCACCAGTCCACAAGCACACTGAGGCCACAACAGTAGAAGTAAATGTTTCAGGATGGAGGTACACTGTAGAGTTGAATTGGCTTGTCTCTAATTCTCAAAGCCCAAGCTAGAAAATGCAGATTGAAGGCTGTTATCTCAACTACTGGGAACCTTGATTTAGAAAACTTCATAAAGGTAACATAATGGGATGGTAATGATAGGAGGATTAGAGGTCAGATCTTTGACACATTCTATACACAGAGGTCTATATACTCAGATGCTCTAGAAGCTCAGATGCAACACACAGAATTATAATAGCACTGTCATAAGAATTTGAAGTACATTTTGTTGATTGTACCAGATGTATATATTAAACCCTGAAGATAAATTGCAATGTAATATTTCTTTAATTACAGTATATCTATTTTTTCCTGTCCTGGGCCTTGCTTCATTCCAAGTACTGAATTAAAACAACTTCCACAGACAGCATTATTGACTTATTCCTTTCAGTCACCTAGAGAAACCTAGTCATTACAGAGAAGGTCAAAACCTGATTTCCTCATTGCAAGAGAGATAGATACATTCTTTACCCATCACTGGAAATTATAGTACTATATTTCTTGAAAACACATGGATTTTATCCTTGTTTTTAATTTTAACTATAATTACAGGCAAGGGTATGGTTTTACTCCCTGGACTTAGCAGTGGCTAGAAACGTTTCTTACTCCTAAATGTTAAGAAAGGGATATAGAGAGTAATTGCTCTAAGACTTGAATCTGCGACAAGGACCTCTGAAAAGCCTACATGCTTTAACAGAGAACAAGAAGTCAGTCAGACAGACTAACACCCTAAGTTCACTCTCCTCTTGTGCTCAGTCTCCTGCTGGAAGTTCCCAGTGATCAAAGTCAACAGGAAATCAGAAGAGAGAGGAATTGTCAATACCATCCTCAAAAGCCAATCTGCCTGGTGCAGAACAAGCAGGATGCAGTGTGTGAGGGGAGCAGGTGAGTGCATGCCGTCCAGTCCAGAGCAACTTCTGCCTTTATGATTTTTTACTTCAGACGGGGTCTCCCTGTAGCCCCATCTGTCCTGGAACTCTCCATGTAGGCCAGCTGACCTCTAACTCAGTGTGCTGAGTGCTCCAATTAAAAGCATGCACCACCCAGCCCGGCCCTTTGTGTAATTTTTATCAAAGGAAATGATCCTCTATTCTAAGTGTACTGTCACCGCCCTTCCACTGGGACATATTTAGAAAGCACAGTTAATAAAATCGACCTTTAAGCAAGTAAAACATACAATTCACACAAAAAATCTGTAGTTCACGCAAGAAACACTTCTTACTCTTGCCTGTCAGCAGTCTCAGCCTGCCTTTGATAGAGGGTGACTGTGAAAGGACACAAAATATTGTATACATGGGTCATATATATTATTTTTATTTTTGGATTCCAGTTATCACATTATTTCAAAATTTAATCTTGATTCATTTTTATAATTTTTTACTGGTTTATGGTGTGAAGAAATAGTTTGAAAAAATTCAATCCATCACAAAATTGATCGGAAATCTATTTAACAAACTGATGGCTATTCTAAAATAAAGCAAAATAGTATAATTGATCCTACAAACAATGAACAGAGGTTCAGGTTCTAAAATGTTGACTTTTGGGTTGGTTTTAAGTGTTCATCTATTTAAAAACAGAAAACAGAACTCGATGTGTGCGTCTTTGCTTATTAGAAAATGGGAGGAAGCCCAATGACTTGTTGGTTTTGAATAGTTCAATTCAGGCTTTGCTATCCTTGTCAAAATTAAGTTGGTACTCAAATGACAGCATTTATGATTTTATCCACCTTTTCTTATTCTATGTAAATTGCTAACATCATCAATAGACAAATTTAATAAGTTGCATAGTTTTACATGCGTTTCTGATTTTCAGTAAAGTTTTTGCAAAGACGTAAATTATCAAGTCAGAACATACTTGAATGCATAATATGTCAATATGCTCAGGTGGAAAAGGAAAAAGAAGAAATAGAGGTCGAAATCTAGTCTCAATTTTAATTGAATGATTAATGCAGTGCTTTGAAATATGAATTAAATGTGGTTTGTTTAGGATCGAATTGGCATTCTGCATTTAGTGGTAATGACATGCTGTTTATTCTATTCCGTATTAAAAAGAAATTCATGAATTAAGGTACCTTGGAGTTAAAAATATCAAGCTATTCTCTCCTTTAAAAATATAAAGCACTCTTTCATGACTTCTCTCAAAGACAAGGTCAGGAAAGACATATTTAAGTGTGTAGATGGCTATGATTATGGAATGATTAAATTTGGTCTTTCTTAAAATAGATTTTGTAAGCTGAGAACTACAAGAGTTGTCTGCATTGAAAAACCAATGCACACCCACTCACTCATTGGACATCAAAGAGAATATGCTTGATTCTCGTGTTGACATACAGATTTCTTACAGTAATATTTCACTTGTGCCTTTATTCACTAAAGAGGAATAATAGTAATCTATGTCAAATTAATCCGAGTGAAAACAGTTAAAATATCTGAGGAAAATATATCTAATAATAAATATGTAAGTACTCTAGACTTGATGAAATGTCAATAAATGAACATCATGTTTTTATTTTCCAGACAAGACATCTCTAGGCTAACCCAGGACTTGCAATCCCCCTGCCTCAGCCTCTTCAGTGCTGGAATTTCAAGTATGAGCTACCAAACCTACCTTCCTATGGCTTTTCTAGTCACTGTGCCTTATACATGGATGCTTTGTATCAATATTTCCTTCTCTTTACTTGACAGTTACATTCTCATTATAAATGAGAAGGGCACATTCCATCATTAAACAATATTTTATGCAAATGAATCTTCCAGACCATCCTGAACCACAGTCACAGGTATGCACATATTCTTGTGCTTTCTCCAAAGTTGAGATGCTAACTGAAATTCAGGATGGCCAAGGAAACTTTAAAACAATTTAAAATACTATTACTTCTTCAGGTTTTACAAAAACTAGTAAGAACTCAGGTGCTGTTCATCCGAGCTATAGGTTGCCATGGCACTGTGAAAAGCAATTTCTTTACTTGTATTTTTAGAGGTCTCTGATCCACACTAGAGATGCTTCCAGAAGGGAGAGTGCAGGAAGGAAGACAGGCTTGCTGTTAGCAGAAGACAGATTTGGGAAGCTACTGTGGATCCAACACTGACTTCAGGAAAGGCCCTCAGAGGAAGTGTTACACAGTTGCTGTTTAGTCACAACTAGGCTTTTAAAGATGCTCTGAGGAGAGTTGGTTTTCCTCAAGGGAGTGACACTAGATGGGTTGACCAGGCTCCAGGGAATGAAATCATGAACTCACACCAAGGGAGATTTGGGGACATAAACTTGGCTCAATAGGCCTTAACATATATGACAGAATGCATGAAATCTGGTAAGGGGGCTCTGGGGGTGCAGATAGGGGAGAGGGTCTAAATATGATCAAGATGTATTGTATGAAATTCAGAAAAATTCAATAAAAAATAAATGTTTAAAAAGAAACATTATTCCAAAAGATGTTGAATGAATGAACAGTTTTTGAGATTGGAAAAAAAATCCTTGAGAACTGGAAAAGCTTTAGCATATTGCTTTTCATCAGTCCTGTCCCCATCTCCAGCTAAAGTAAACTCTATGGTCACCTAAGAAGATAAACTCCATTTGTTTTTGCTAATATTGTGGCTTGTAACCGACAACAAGTGAACACCAAGCCACCATTCACATTTCCCTTTCAACCTTCGAGACCAATAACGCTCCCCCACCTTTTCTTTCCTCTCTTTTCTTTCTGTCCCCCATCCCATTTACCTTCCCTTTTCTGTTTTAGCAAACAACCCACCAAAACCTCACAGGAGGAGAAACAGAATCTGTATATACCACATTTGTGTTCTACATGGGGTAATCTCTCTAAGGAAAACAGATCAGTCTTTCATAATCCACTAGGTAATGCTATGGTAACTGAGTCCTGCCCAGAGCTACCGATGCTTCTACTATGAGGCTACAGTAGGCACAGGTGGCAAGTTTCAGTTTAACCCCTTTCTAATGCTGCTGTTTTCAACACTCAAAGGACCTCTCTCATTAGTCTTATAAAGTACAAAATTCCAACCTCAATCTCATGCCGTTAAATTAACAGCATCACACTGCGTTGTACTGTGTGAATGTCTCTCATAACTTCAGATGGGAAAACACTCTTCAGATTTCACTTACCCGTTTAAAAATAGCAAACTCTAATTTGAAACAGTCTCTCCCCCGACATACATACAATTGTGCGCTCTCACTAATATTCCTTCCCAGTGCTAGGCAAATATTTTTCTAACAGACACAAATGAAATTCAGCATAATCACAGGGTTTAAAAGTCATATTTGTCAAAAGATGATGTTTGTTATGAAACAAATCAAGAAGAAAATATTCCTTTGAGCTAAAATGACAAGCTACAATCTGTTCCATATAACAATGGCTATCTATTTTTAAGATACAAATCAAAATTCTCTAGTGTTTATTTTGACTTGAAGATTGCCCAATAGATTACTATATCTCTGCCCAATGAAACTTCTTCTTGGTTGGGTAAGTGCTGAGCAAGGCAATTAATACATTTTAAACATCCTAAAATGATGTGACAATTGTTAAAAATGAGGTTCCTCCAACTTTATCACTTAGTAATTCAGGAGAAAAGTAGATGATAAATTTAGAAGATATACCTACAGGCCATTTAAGTTCACACAAAGTCCAAAGTAAGACCCCTGTTCTCACTAAATAAGAGTGTTATATCTTATAATCAGCAGAAACACTTATAATACACAGGCACACCACTTTAAGTTTTGACAGAAGTTATGTCATATTTAAACTCACCGCTGGATGTAAGGGTCGGGACAGTACTGTAGGGTGGCACACCGGGAACTTTCAAAATTCATTTCCTTCAACTCTCTTTGATACCAACAAATGGGAAGCAAAAATATAAAATATACACATATACCTGTGTATATAGGTATATAGCCAGGAGGCTAAAAGCAATAGGGTCAAATGCCATCAGACATAAAAGTTTAGACACGTCCCCCTTCACACAGATTTGCAAAGAGGCGGGGCGTATCTTCATGTGAGCCAATGAGATTCTTCAAGTGACCAAAACATCATAAACAGTTGATTCTTACCAGCTGGGCATCCTCTCTAAAGCTGTTTTTCGCTGTCTTCCACAGTTTCAGAGTCCCTGAGGTACAGTGGCCACATTTGCTGTTGGCAATTTGGAGACATCTCTGAACTTCTGATCTCTCTCGTGATTGGATGTTGGCATGAATGGCATCAGAGGTTAATTTCAGCAGCCAGGACTTCTGTCACAGCACTGAGCTGACGACTGTCCCTCTTGCTCCAGTTAAATAACATTTCCTAGTATGTGGATACTGATTTGATTTGAGGGCTTCTGTCACTGTGCTGGGGCTAAAATGCTTTGCAGGGCTGCTTAGGGAAGTGATTTTTTTTCATCCTCCCCCTCCCCCTTCAGCCTCCACTTCAGCCAACCGCCTGTTGTGGTCACAATCTCAAATAGCAAAGACAGGGAAATTCCTTGATTATATTTAACCTAGAACTCACGCTTGGTTTCAAAGCAGAGAGAGAGAGAGAGAGATATCCATTCACATGGCCTCAGAAATGTTTTCTGCTCCAAATGAAAGATAATACCTTGTATCGATTTGTTTAAATATCCCACCTCAAATACCCCACATATGTATATGTGAAAGGATCTTTAATGTGATGTTAAAATGGAAAATCATACTTTATTTTCTGATGTTTTGGACTTTGCAGTATTGTTTCAAATTGCCTGTTAATGAAGAATTCTAGTTACTTCCAGATCTATCGGTCTATCTCACACTTTTATGCTGCATTTTTGCTGCTTTCAGTTTCTTTCCACCCACTTTGCTATAAAATAATAACATTGTTCTTACATTCAAGAATTAGTATATTATCAGGCTAAGTCCCCAGGCAGAATAGCTTGTTTCCTTTCTCAGTGTAGGCTGTAAGCCTATACTGGTTGTGTTGATGTAGAAATTGAATGAAATATGATTCACAAGCAAAATTGGAATAGACTCCAACTTAAAAAAAAAATGTGTGCCCGAGTGTCACCGTCATGGCAAAATCACATCTCCATTCATGGGGCACCTGTACATTGGCAACACAGGAAATGTCAAAGTTGTCAGGTAACCTGAAGTACTTTCCAGAGAAATCTGACATTTCCCTAAGAAATTCTGGTTCAAAATGTGTTTCTAAAGATGTTTTGTTTGTTGCTTCAGCCGGGGAGAAGCTCTTTAAAACTTGACATTCTCTTCCTTTACTTAGCCTGAGAGTGTCTAACATCTGTTAATTGTGAAACTCACAAACATGCTGGCCTGAGCCACAGCCAAATCAAACAGCTTGTTCTACAAAATGTGAGATTTGAAGGGAAGATCATTTCACTAATTAATTATAGATTTGTTCATTGGAATTAAGGAAGTGTTTAGCTTTCTTCCTAGCTATTAGAAAATATAGGTGGCATCTTTACAAAGTTCTTAAAATGTGAGTAATCGGTTTCCTGTGATCATGGCCAACGGAGAGTTCCACACAGAGGTTTTCACTGCTCCCATTCAGATGAGTTTTTGGACATGGAGGCAAGAAGGTCTCCATTTAAGGACAGCCTAAGCAGTCCACAAAACAAAGATGGGGTGTAGTTTAGCGGCAGAGCACTTGCCTGCTATGAAAAAGGCCCTGGGCTCAATCACCAGCCCTCAAGAGTAAGGGAGAACAAAATAACAGTTTTGTGTTTGAGCTTTTTCTACTTGTAATAAGCCTGAAAGTCACTTGGAATCCTTGTTAATTCTGGTTCTGATTCTGTAGTTCTGCCATGGTATGTACGACTACATTTCTAACACTGTTCCTGGTTATGTCTGTGTGGCTGGCCCTAGGACCACTTTGAACTGGCAAAGTCTAGTGTTCATTGCTGATCTGGTATTTATAGTTCAGTGCTCCCTGAAAACACAGAGGAACTTGTTAAAACATTTCAAATTTCCACCCAAAGCCACAGACTCCCACACCATCAATTTTCAAACATTCTTGCCACACGTTTTTATCTAAAAAAATGTTTATAGCCTAATTTAAAAGGTTTATGATAAAAATAATTTAAAATACATACCATTACATCAATAGTAATTTTTTTAAGTCCCGAATCTGCTTAGCTAAGGAGGATAGATTATTAGGTAGCAATAATTTTACAGAAATAATTATGAAAAAATTGGTGATTAGTGCATACTAGAAATAAATGGAGAGAGTTAACTTGATTTAAGGTACAAAAGCAAACTATAGAATTTACCAACATATCACTAGAACTCAAGCATTCATCCTGGGAAAATAAGTGACAAATATAATTACCATAACTGCCTAATATTTATATGGTTTCACTCCCCTGGAGACTCGTTACTATTCAAATGTATAAAATATTTCTTTGTTGTACAAATTGTGTATTTTGCTGAGATTTTAAGTCTTTTAGGCATAGTCTAAGAGAAAAGCCTACATGGACATTCAGAAGAAGGTAGTGGCTCTTCCAACCTGCCTGCTTAAGTGAAGTTTGTGACTACACCTGATTTGTATGAAGGGAGGATGGAGAGCTTAGGGAAGAGCAATATTTAGGATATGGCACTCTGGACATAATGAAAGAGAAAGAGATACTTCTTCCCTCTCAGCTTCTAGCAGTGGAGAATGTGCACTACCAAACTCAGGTACTCACCACACAAATCCTTGTCTCTTGGTTGAATAGCTGCTCTCCTTTATACACTTTCTGGCCTAGGCTACGTACTTTTCTGGTTGCTTTCCAGATCATACTTTGTTCTACACTAGAGATGTTTTCAAACATCATCTGTGTATCTTTCAAAACCCAAAAATAAATAAATAATGAAAAATTTCCTTTGTCCCTCCAATGAAAGAAAGTTTCCTCACCTCTCATATACTAAATGATTATACCCATGTGCTGTGGTTTGGGTATAAAATGTCCCTCATATGTGGTTTGGCTCATGTGGTTGAGCACTTGTCTTGAGAGGTTGTAGGATCTCTAAGAAGTAGGGCCTAGCTGGAGAAAGTTCTTCTCTGGGAATGGGGCTTGACATTTATAGCCCAGCTCCAATCCTTGCCTGGTCTCACTTCCTGATCCATACTGATGCGAATAAGCTGCCTCATGGATCTTCCACGACAACTGCAAGCCAGTCCTGCTGCCATGGCATCTCAAATTGACTGAGAACTTCAGCAAAACATGGGAAAACAGGGCTGGAGAGATGGTTCAGCAGTTCAGAACACTAAGGACCAGCACCCACATGGCAGCTAACAACTGTCTAAAACTCCAGTTCCAAAGGTGCCATTGCCTTCTGATCTCCAGGGGCACTGCATGACATGGTGCACTTACACACATGCAGGCAATGCACTCATGCACATAAAATAAATAATAAAAACATGGAAAAAAATTCTGTTAACCAGGGAGACAGAAATAACTAAAGAGTAACAGAAAACCAATGCCACCATGTGCAGTGTAAGGCAGAAAACCTCTACAGCCTCTACAGCCCTGGCAGATTGTGGTGTCTGTGATCACTGTGATCAGAGGCTGAATTCCTTGGTGTCAGAGAAACTGAACCTTGGATCCCGTCCTCTCCCAATTCATCATGGCCTACACCACTTCAGATTATGGGAACTGAAAGAAACTCTTCTAGCATACAAGGTAGTAAATTTCCCAGGGATCACCCACATTGATGGGCCTTAAAAGTTTCTATGATGTTTCTAAGTACCTAACCCCAGTTCAACCACAGTCTCTATTTCATAGAAGTGGAAACCAAAGCTTTGCCGTGGGAGGCATCTTACTAACCCTTCCACTTTTGTGCTCCATAGATCTGGTATTTGCTACAGTCTGACACCTAGGTAGAGTAAGGTAGGCCCAGAAATTATGTGAACCAAATGATAGTAAAATGTTAATTCAGTGAAAAAGCACATCAGCTGCAGGCTAAGTCATGCTGTTTGGATCGATCTTGAGCTTGCAGATACTCCAATTGATCAACTTGAAAAATTTACAGTTAACCAAATGAGTTGAGTCTATTGAGGGGAAAGAAAATCTTCAGGGGTTGTCACAATGAAAGGAAATTTTTTGATTCAGAGGACATGCAAAGAAACACAGAAGCCAATTAAGTAGTTAAGTAGGGAGGAGGTTGGCAGTTTCCCTAACAGACAAATCTGATACCCCACCAGTCACACCCAGTGTCCAAAAGCAATGTGGGTGGGCTTCTCTTCCAGACATACCCGAACAGCTGTGTGGGGGCTACTCCTCACTCCCACCCCTCCTTCACTCAAAGTCCGTTGTGAGTGGGAGATAAATAAGGAAACACAGGAAGTCCTTATTTGGCGCTGCCCAGGGTTATTTTTCCGGAAGCATCTGTTAGTTGCAAGACATGATAGCCTTTACTCCATGCATTTCAATGTGTATTTCTTAACATGAAGAAATCTCCTATATAACCAGAGTTCAAGCCTAGCAATCAGGAAATTAACATCCACAAAATAGCTACTCTACATATCTATTCGAATTTCCTAGTTGTGCCAATACTGCCTTCATAGCAATAGCAACAGAAAATCCTGACTCATTCATTGCCCTGTTTAGTCTTTTCTCATTGTGAACAGTTCCTTAGGCTGTTTCATGACACAGTTACTTATGCAGATGAAAGACCATTGCTTAGTTTAGTTTTGATGGGTATTTTCTCCTGATTAGTTTCAGTTATGCACTTTTGGCCAAAACATCACAAAAGTGAAGCCATGTCCACCTCAATACACCCTATCAGGAGTTGTGTGGTTTTAAAAATGCTGCCTGTGGATTTTCCCCAAGTCTACTCTGAGAAGCAGATCACTGAGAATCTAAAATAATTTGAATATTGAAATTTACAGAGCCTCTTTCAAGGTTGCGGGAAATACCTCAGCAATTTTTCACATTGTTATATGCTTTTATAAAGTACATAAATTTGAAACACTATATTTGAACTCTAATCTTGTAATAATGCTGTCCCTTCAAGTCCATTTTCATTTCACCTCTTTTTGAGCCATGTGGTCTTGTGAGGGGGTAACAATGGGGTTTACATGATTCGGCCAAAGGCAATTTGAACAGGATACTTTAAAAATAATTTATTTACTTTCTTTTATGTATATGTGTGTTTAACCTGCATGTATGTAAGTACATGCATGTCCCATGTCATACAAAGCCCACAGAGGCCAGAAGAAGGTGTCAGATGCCCCAGAACTGAAGTAGCTGATGATCATTAATGGCCATGTGGGAGCTGGGAATGGAATCCCAGTCCTCTGGAAGAAAATCCAGTGTTTTTAACCACTGAACCATTTCTCCAGCCTCAAGCAGGGTACATTTCAAGTTGGGTTTGAGAGAAGGAATTTAGGTGGGTTTTGCT